ACTATAAAGTACTGTCAAAGGTTTTAGCTAATAGACTGAAGGTTTTTATGGATGTTTTTATTGGTACTGATCAGTCCTACTGTGTCCCTGACAGATCCATCCTGGACAATCTGTTTTTAATGAGAGACATTTTTGATGTGTGCAGACTCTATAATTTAAAGACTGGTGTACTCTCAATTGACCAGGAGAAGGCCTTCGATCGTGTTGATCACTCCTTTTTATTTTCCACACTGCAGGCCTTTGGTGTTGGGGAGCACTTCTTGTCCTGGGTGAAGCTGTTGTACACGGGTGCATGTTGTGTGGTTAAAGTGGGGGGTGGACTAAGCAGTCCTGTACCAGTGAGCAGAGGCATCAGGCAGGGCTGCCCCCTCTCTGGTCAGCTGTACAGTGTGGCCATTGAGCCCCTTCTTTGTCTGCTCAGGAGGCGGTTAAGGGGATTGTGTCTGCCTGAACCGGCTCAGAGCCGGCCTTTGATTGTGTCAGCATATGCTGATGATGTAAATGTTTTTGTTCAGGGCCAGGAAGATGTTAAAGAACTTAAGCATTGCCTGGATCTGTATGAGAGGGCTGCATCAGCCAAAGTAAACTGGGAGAAGAGCGAGGCAGTTTTAGTCGGCCACTGGAGTGCAGGAAGCACCCCTAGTCTTCCTGGTGGCCTTAGGTGGGGTAGCAGAGGGCTCAAGGTCTTGGGAGTGTATTTGGGTAGGGAGGAAACCACTGCTAAAAACTGGGAGGGAGTGCTGGAGAAGGTGAAAGCCAAGTTATCTAAATGGAAATGGTTGCTACCTCAGATGTCTTACAGGGGAAGAGCTCTGATCGTCAATAACCTGGTGGCCTCGTCTCTGTGGCACAGGCTCCAAGTTCTGGACCCTCCACCAAGCCTCGTGGGACAGCTGCAGCGACTCCTGGTGGACTTTTTCTGGTCGGGTCACCATTGGCTTTGAGCGTCAGTCCTATACCTTCCTGTGGCAGAGGGGGGGCAGGGCCTGATAGACATCGCCTCCAGGACCGCTGCCTTCAGGCTTCAGGCAGCTCAACGTTTCCTGTACGGACCTTCTCACTGCTGGTTGGATGTAGCTCGGCTGCTGCTCCGGAAGGCTGGGCGGCTTCGCCTCGACAAACAGCTGTTTCTCCTGAAGCCCCCTGCTCTCACCTTCACTGATATTACACCTTTCTACAACTCTGTGTTTGTTGCGTGGAGGACTCTGGTTGCCACTCGACCATCTGACCCCAAGCCTGGGATGTGGCTGTTTGAGGAGCCACTTTTTGACCATGACCTTCTCGTTACCACCACGGTTTTATCTAACACCTTAAAAAGTGTCCTCACTCAAGCTGGAGTAGTTAAGCTTGGACATCTCACACGAACACCTGTAGAGAGTCTGGCTGACATGACCGGAGTAAGATCAACAAGAGTGCTGCTGAACCTGGTGAAGGAGGTGTGGCAGTCTCTGTCGGGGCCCCTCCGGACTTTTGCTCAGGGACGGGGTTTGGCTGAACGTTGGAGAGAGGGCCAAGACTACATCTTCCCCACCCTGAGTGTGAGTCCTGCAGTGGGAGAATGGAGGGAGGAGAGTGGACTGTTGCTGACGTTACAGAGACCAGTACTGGGAGCCTTCAGCTCCTGCACAGGGAAGCAGCTGTACCTCAGCTGTGTCAAAGTACTCAACCTGCGCTCCCTCACGGGAGTCAGAGAGTCGAGGTGGACAGAGGTTTTTGGCTCAGACGTTTCCCCTAATGGCAGCTGGAGGGTCCTGTATAAGCGTCCTGTTGAGAAACGCACAGCGGATCTCCAATGGAGGATTATTCACGGAACGATAGCCACAAACAGGTACAGAGCTCACCTTGATCCGGCCAATGGGGAGGGATGTCCATTCTGCTCCCAGTCAGAGACCGTAGAGCACCTGGTGCTGTCCTGTCCCAGACTGGCAGCTCTTTTTAAAGTGGTGCAGGAGTGGGTGGGGGGTTTGGGGGAGGTTTTCTCGTTCCCACTCTTTGTTTTTGGACCCAAATACACTGCCAAGAAAAATAAATCAGTGGTATTGATCAACTTTGTTTTTGCGAGTGCTAAATTAGCCATCTGGAAGACTCGCAAAAACAAGGTTCTTGGGGTGGACTGGACTGACCCGGTCTGTTGCCTCAAAGGCTTGGTGGCGGCACGTCTCAGGGTTGAGCACACCTTTTATAAACTGACGGAAAATTTGGATGGTTTCAGGGATGTGTGGGCTATCGGACAAGTCCTGTGCACACTGGAGGAAAATGGCTCCTTAGTGCTGAATTTCTAAAGGACTGATTTTTAGTGTGTGTGCTTGTGTGTGTGTGCGTGCGTGCGTGTGTGTGTGCGTGCGCGTGTGTGTGTATGTGTGTGTGTGTGTGCGTGTGTTACTATTTATTTAAACCAACAGTACTAATCTGGTTTTAAGATTTTGTCAGAATGGTTCAAAAATAAAGTTTGTTAAAAGTCAAAAGTCTCTCTCTCTCTCTCTCTCTCTGTCTCTCTCTCTCTCTCTCTCTCTCTCTGTCTGTCTCTCTCTCTCTCTCTCTCTCTCTCTCTCTCTCTCAGGTTTTCGATAACTACGCGGTGACGGTGATGATCGGTGGAGATCCGTACACTCTGGGACTCTTCGACACGGCAGGTAAAAGAATCTTAATCTGGTCGTTTTTCTTTCTGTTCTTCAGTTTGAGACGATATCTGACCACATCCTGAACGGCTCTGATCCGGAACGGCGGTGACGATTTTTGCCATCTGCTATTTCCTATCAGATCCGTTTGTGAGGCGAATTTCGTGATGGATTACAGACAGAGAGAATCGTGAGAACTCACAAGAACCCGCAGATTCACGTTCAATCTCACGATAACGAGTCGTCTCTCTAAAGACAGACACATAGACATATAAGCAGTAGATTGTGTCCTTCCAGAGGAGGAAATCTACTTCTAGACTTCTAGAATCAGCATCTCCTCATCCATGGTGTCATCGGGGTGAAATGACGTCTAAAAACCTTTCACTTGTTCGTCTCCGCCCGTTTGCATGGTGTGAAATACGATCCTCCTGAAACACGGAGTGTTTTATTTTGAAAAGAAGCCGGATGTTTTATTTTGTGTCTGTGCCCGACTTCCTTTCCAGCACGGGTTAATCTGTGCTGAATTTATCCGCCATGCTCCGGCGTCCAGAAAAAATAGAACTCTTGTGATCAGCTGAGGAGTCCGGCGATCCGCAGAGGAACGGAAAGAAGTCGGTGTAAATTGACACGTTAACTTGAATGGTTACGATCAGCTACGATCGGAGGATACGACCTTTTAGGAGACGATCAGGATGAAGGTGGAGGTCGGGGGTAACAGCTAATCTTGTGTCTCCCCCTGCAGGTCAGGAGGACTACGACAGGCTGCGGCCTCTCAGTTACCCTCAGACCGACGTCTTCCTGGTGTGTTTCTCGGTGGTTTCTCCGTCTTCCTTTGAGAACGTCAAAGAAAAGGTGAGCTCGGTCCTTTTGTTGGTCTGCGAACACCTTCAGAGGTTCTTGAAGTCCAGCTGAGAGGTTCTAGCAAGAATTAGAGACGGTATCAGACACCTCTCACCCCTGTTTCACCTCTGCTCCTCACAGTGGGTTCCAGAGATCTCACATCACTGCCCGAAGACGCCTTTCCTGCTGGTCGGGACTCAGGTGGATCTGAGGGACGACAGCAACACTCTGGAGAAACTGGCCAAGAACAAGCAGCGACCCTTGACCTGTGAGATGGGAGACAAACTGGCCCGGGACCTGAAGGCCTGCAAATACGTGGAGTGTTCGGCTCTAACACAGGTGAGCAGAGAGTGAGGAAACATCTGGGTCCTCAGAGACCTGAACTCTAACCCCTGATCCGTCTGTGTCCCTCAGAAAGGACTGAAGAACGTGTTCGACGAGGCCATCCTGGCTGCTCTGGAGCCTCCAGAGACCAAACCCAAGACCCGCTGCGTGCTGCTATAGACGCCCGAGAGAGAGAGGAGGAGCAGGAGGAGCAGGAGGAGCAGGAGGAGGAGGAACCAGGAGGGGATCAGAGGGAGGAGGGCAGGGTGGTGGGTGGAGATGGAGTTTTTAAACAGTGACTTCATGTGGGCGTGGTCAATAAGAAGAGGGGGCGGGGTCAATGAAAGGAAGGGGCGGGGCCAATTTAAGGAGGAAGGGAGGGGTCCATTTAAGGAGGAGGCGGGGTCAATTTTGGGAGGAGGAGGGGTCAATGAAAAGAGGAGGCGGGGTCAATGAAAGGAGGAGGCGGGGTCAGTGAAAGGAGGAGGCGGGGTCAATGAAAGGAGGAGGCGGGTTTGAATCTCAAGCCTGAATGTTCCAAACAGAAAATGTGGTCAGGATTACAGCTGGACCAGGACCCTAAAGATCCAGGTCTTGGACCTGGACCTCTTTACCGCCAAAGAACAATTTAATAAAGTCAAACTGTCGCTGTTTGTGAAAACGGAACGACTGTTTCCTGGCGTTTGTATGTTTGCCGTCAGCTAAACAACTTTTGAACTCCAAACACACAAACCTGTCGGTAAAAACTCCTGAAAACAAAATGAAGTTTCTGTTAAAAACTCTTCGTCTTCGTTCACACGGCGGGTTCTGAAGCAAAGTTCAGATTTTTAGTTAACTCCGATCTTTTTGTGCGGTCGTTCACGTTACAACAACGAATACGTGTGTGAAGTGACCCTCATGAACACAAAACACAAATATCTCTCCGCTCCTGTTTGTGTCGAACAACGGTGACGTTTGTCTCATATTGATGACGTAAAGGTCGGATGAACTCGACCTGAGCGTCACACTGCAGTCACATCAGATACATATCTGATTTATATCCACATACAGAAGAGGGTCGGATCAGAACCAATCAGAACTGACCTGTTCACACTTAGATGGAAAAATCAGATAAGAGTCACAGATGGTTAAAACATCAGAATGACCTTCAGAATGACCTTCAGACCAACTTCAGGTCTTTAAAGTCGTTTAATCAGGAAGTGAAAATGATCCAAAAATCTGATTTTTCTGTGAAGAAGTGAAGAGAAAGTTTGTCCTCCTGAACGTTGAACACGTGTGTGTCTGTGTGTGTGTGTGTGTGTGTGTGTGTGTGTGTGTGTGTGTGTCTGTGTGTGTGTGTCTGTGTGTGTGTGTGTGTGTGTGTGTGTGTGTGTGTCTCTCTTTATCACTATGACTCGTTTCCTCCTTCCTCGCTCCCTTCAAACCCGCTCACATCCTCCGTTTTCACCGTCACTCCTCCTCCTCAGTTTTTACTCCAGCTGACCTCAGATGACCTCTCCACACATGTGACCAAAGACTGTATCTAGAACAGACGCCGTCTGCCTCCTCCTCTCTGTGAGAACAGCGCCCTCTGGTGATGGGCTGCAGTATAGGTCATAAACCCCGCCTCCTTATGGAGCTGTGGACAAACTTTATAAATGAATGACACAGAATATAAATGTTTCTCCCCCCTGGTTGTGATGTTGACATGTAGTTACTGTCAGACTGGTTTGTGCTCAAGTCCTCTTTTTTCTGTACAGCTCCATTTTTAAAAGTTATTAGGGGGTTCATGTTTGCTATGATTGACAGCTGATACAGCCAATGGGAGGACAGAGATTGAGTAGATCACCGGGGGATACGCTGTTTGAGCCGAGTGTCATCACAGAGACTCTCCCTCTGAATAAGAACAACGCTACTGAACAATGTTGGTTTCAGGAAGTGGAGAAAAATCGCAGAAATACCGAGAACTTTTCAGCTTCAAATCCGTTTACAGTCGGGAGGCGGAGCCAAGTTGTCCATACAGTCTATAGCTGGCACCTGTCAGTCAAATAAGCCCCGCCCTAATGATGTTAGAGTAGGCGTGATCACTATCCTCCCTGTTATCTGAACAAAAGGTTAAAACCAGGGCATTGAAACATGGGACCAAACAGGGACTCTCCGGATCTGGATCCAGACTCATCAGGCCCCGCCCCCTCATGGACCTCGTTAAAGTCCAGACCTTCTCAGTATAGAAGCTGTGTACAGTGATGAGCTCAGATCAGACCCCGCCCTCGCTCCTCCTGGCCTGACTCGAGCCTTAAAGAGCTCATTAGTTTGACAGCGCCTCCTGGAGGCCTTAAAGAGTAACTACGCTCAGTTTAAAGGTTCTTCCGTGTTTTATTTGGTCCTCAAACTCGACGGTCTGGTCTGACTTAATTCAGTCTTTAAACTGAGGAGTCGTCTTTGCTTCGCTGGATGATTGAAGAGTATTAAATAAATATGTTTTCTTTGTTTTCGGGAAACAACATTTGAGCTTTTTTGGTTTTGAAACTTGAGTTTTTTCCTTTTTAGATCTTTTTACTTGTACTTGACGGTCGAGTGCCAACAGTGTGACGGGGAGTCATCGGTAAAGATGAGCAGGTCGCTGCAGGAATAATGTAAAAAAAAAAGATGGATGTTGGAGCTGAAGGGTGTTTGGAAAAATAAAAACTTGAACTTTGTTCACATTCTCATATCTGATCTTCTGTTTTCATACTAGTCAGCTGAAAATATGACCCTGAAGAAGTTCTTCCAGCTGTTTCTATAGTATCAGATTTCCTTAATAACAAACTCAAAGTTTGATAAAGAAAAACAAAAAAACATAAACAGAGATATCCAAAGTCCCCCCCAATAACAAAATAAAACTTTTTAAAGGCTCTTTATCTATTGTTCAGTTTTCTGTAAATTAGTGAATATTTAATTAGATATTAGGACCTCATTTACATATTCAAACAGAACATCTCACTAAACTTGTAATATAAAAAATATTTGTCTTAATGTTATAAACTCGGGAGTTTTCATGCTGATATCTGTTTGTTAAAATTTACCCTGTTTACCTGGGGGGGGGGTCTCTTCCTACCATCATGGACGCCATCTTGAAAATGGCGCCTTTCCAGTGGTCAAAGTTATGCTGCGTCCGAATTGCCAAGTAGTAGTCGAAGTAGTATCTAGCATGTCCGAATTGGCCACCGGAGCGAGTAGCATGCTACTTCAGATACTACTTCAGATGCTAGACACGCCCACATTGTAGGTTGGTCTCGGTGCATCCTACGGGCATGCTACTGACCCAAAATGCACCGCGGGCTTCTTCTTCGTCCTCTTAAAAGTTGTAGAAGGGCATGTGACGCTAGCGCCACCAGCTGCTCTGCCTATTTAAAAGTGTCACGAACGCCGGCTGGCCACAGCAGCGCGCACCATGTCGGAGCAGCAGCAGCAGGCGGGACCGCAGCAGTACAGATGTAAGTCTCATGTAACTTCACACACTGTCCTAAAAAATGTGCGGTTGTATCTCTTTGTCATGTCATGGTGTCATATTTCCCCAAGTAATCATTTTATGAGCAAATATGTGGCGACATCATAGAGGTAAAGCTCACTTATTCCATCATTAAACTGCACAGCTGCAGTAATCAGGCAGATCTGAACAAACGGTCACTGCGTGAGTAAATGAAGGCTAAAAGTCATGGAAGTGCAGGAATATAATACAGCAGCATCCATCACTTCCACAATTACCATTTAAAGAGTCTAAAACGGGCGCAGTACCTACTCTCTGCCTGCGGGGGTCGTCTTTCCCCACCGCTCGTCGAGTGTGCCCGAATTGGGCCAACGTGTTAAGTATGTAGGAGTAGTATGTAGTATGTAGTATGTAGCAGTAGTATGTAGGATGTAGTATGTAGTATGTAGGATGTAGGATGTAGTATGTACAGTAGTATGTAGTATGTAGTATGTACAGTAGTATGTAGGATGTAGTATGTACAGTAGTATGTAGTATGTAGGATGTAGGATGTAGGATGTGAGCGGGGAATTCGGACACAGCACCGGTCTGCGTTCAGACTGAAGGTCATTCTGATGTTTTAACCATCTGTGACTCATATCTGATGTTTTCATCTAAGTGTGAACAGGTCAGTTCTGATTGGTTCTGATCCGACCCTCTTCTGTATGTGGATATAAATCAGATATGTATCTGATGTGACTGCAGTGTGACGCTCAGGTCGAGTTCATCCGACCTTTACGTCATCGATATGAGACAAATGTCACCAGTGTTCGGAAACCAATTTGTGCTTGTTGTTGTTGTGATGTGAACGACCGCACAAAACGATCAGATTGAACAAAAAAATCCGAAGTGTGCATCAGAACCTTCCGTGTGAACGTCGAACCTTTTAGAAAACTTTTAGTTTGTTATGAAGGACGTCTGAGAAAACAGCTAAAAAAGTTTGTAGATGTTTTTTTTATAAATGTGTCCGCCTTGACCTTCATGAACTCCTGGTTTACTGTCGTTTAGACTTTAGAGTCCTTGAAAATAGATGTGGTGACATTTAGCTCGTCTTATCGAGGTTTATTAGAGATAACGAGGAGCCATGACATGAAAGAAACGACAAATATGAAGATCAAACTTTTATCATCATGCTCAGTTTCCAGACTACAGATGTGGACGCTGGAGGGTTAACGCAGTACCTGACAGCGAACACTAGGGGGAGTCGTCCCATTGGTTTTGAACAGGTCTCAGTGGAGACAGTATGCATGTAGATAACCCGGGTTCTCTTTGATTGGCAGCTCAAAATGGATCCTTCAGACCGACGTGGCGTGGAGGATCTTTTGTCTGAAAACCGCTCTGCTCCTCTGTTTTTCCCATCATGCCTCACTCTTCTATTACCGTGTTTTGAGGTGTTCAGGGTCGAGGCCTTAAAGGAGCTCAAAGGAAAGAGAGAGAACTTCACCTGAGATAGACATAGAAGATCTAGATCTAGTTAAACCTCAGACTTCTCCACCTCTGTACTCGAACCCTGGTCTGACCCTCCTGCAGGGCCGAGTCGACGCTCTTTATGAGGATCGAGCAGGAACCCGGAGACAGACTCTGGAAACATGTTTGATCTTTAACCTAGATCTGCTCTGAAACATAGATGTTCTCTCTGATCTCCGGGTTCGACTGTGTTCCTCTCAGGTTCGGATCGGTCTGATGTTTTTGTCTCTACTAAACTCTCAGAGTTGAAGGTTCTGGACTTGATCCTTCACAAACAGGTTGGGTGTCTGAGATCCTGGACCGGTCCCAGACCCGGTCCAGTCTCCTCTAGTGGAACTTCAGGCCTCTCAGCAGCGGCGGCCATCTTGTCTTGTTGCTGATTCAGCCTCTGACACTTTGACTGCTGTCTGTCCCAACACGCCCCGCTCTCCACGGCTCGTTCGGCTGGTGAATATTATTGGATGTCCATCTGACCTCATTATAAGTATGTTGCTATGGGCAACGAAGAAGGGGAGGGGCTGGAGGTGTGTGTGTGTGTGTGTGTGTTGGGGGGGGGGGGGGGCAGTTGCATCATGGGATAGAAACCTGACCTCTCTCTCTCTCTTTTATTTTTTTTCCTCGTCGCTCAGAGGACGCACACGTGCACTGATACACATGTGTTCACGTGCACACGCACACACACAGCCACGAGCGCGCGCACATTGAGCCTAAACAAAGATACACATGAGGAGAGGAAGACCAGGAGAAGGAACAACAATCCAACATTTGTTTACAGCTGAGAGGAGGAGGAGGAGGAGGAGGAGGAGGAAGAGGAGGAGGAAGAGGAGGAGCAGGAGGAGGAAGAGGAGGAGGAGGAGGAGGAAGGGGAGGAGCAGGAGGAGGAAGAGGAGGAGGAAGGGGAGGAAGAGGAGATGGGGGGGGGAAGGGGAGGAGCGTTTCTACGTCAGTGAGGAGAAAGTTCAAGACTGGGAACTAAAATCAACAAAACATGAACCATTCTGAGAGCTGATTGGACGATTTCAAGTCGAACCGACATTGACTCGGATTTAAAGGATCGATGTAGAAACACTTAAAGGGATATTCCGGCATAAAATTAATTTAGGTTACCGAATGTTGTCGACCGCTTCCTTCTCTAGTTATACCAACTTTAGTAACGACCGCAGGATAGAAATACAGAGAGCCACGCCCCCAACCAAAACGCCACTCTATAGCCACAAATAATGCTCAGAACAGCACCTAACTTCATCAACAGGACATATAGGGTCACAGTCATAGTACTAGACACCAAACATCTTTTTAACTTTGACTCATTTCTTTAGTAAAGAGACTAAACACAACTCACCTACTCTCTTCCAGCAGACGCTTGTTTGTAGAGAGACCTCAGGCCAGTCCATTACAGACTACAGCGGGGTGCCGCAGCTCAAGGAAGAACATTTATGATCATTTCAAGTAGCGTTTGGCGTGACATATGCAAATGGCCAAAATAGGCCGATGACTCTTTAACTGTGTGTCTGAGAATAAAGACCAAGTGCGCAAAATCAAAGATCTCGTTTAGATACACGTGCCTGTAAAATTTCCAGAAGTTCGGAAAAAGCCGACATTCATGGCGCTCTGTAGGGGGTGCTAGCGAGCCAGTGAGCTACATGCTACATACGATACGCTACTCACCATACGGTTCACCAGCTCAAGGAAGAACATTTATGATCATTTCTTCATGGAAATACAATCAGACCGAGACGCTAAGACAGAAGAACTACCGCGTCTGTAAAATGATCAGTATGACGGACTGACCTGAGGTCTTGCTGCTGGAAGAGAGTAGGTGAGTTGTGTTTAGTCTCTTTGTTAAAGAAATGAGTCAAAGTTAAAAAGATGTTTGGTGTCTGTGACCCTGTATGTCCTGTTGATGAAGTCAGGTGCTGTTCTGAGCAGTGCTTAATTTCCAAACCTACCTAGTATAACATTTACCTATCTGCGCGCGGTGTCGGTGCGAAAACAAAACCATCCCAATGCACATTGCGCTGTGACACATGACGACAGAAATCTCTTTTTCCCTGTTTTAACTCATTTCTGAGTAAAAGGCATAAAAAATAAAAGTCACTTCAGAGAGAAAAAAAACAGAAGAACAAAAATAAAAACACAGTTTATTTACTGACAGGGATCAAACAGGCGCCGGATCAGATCGAAGAGGTCCCAGAGCGCACTCCGGCTTAAATTAAGCACTGGTTCTGAGCATGATCTGTGGCTATAGAGCGGCGTTTTGGTTGGGGGCGTGGCTTCTTTGTTTGTTTGTTTTATTTTTTGTTTGTTTGATTGTTTGTTTGTCTGTCTGTCTGTCTGTTTGTTTGTCGGTGTCTGAGGATCATGATCGCCTCAGGTCTTCAAACCAGTAAACTGATCAGGTTTGGATCAATCAGATATGTATTGATTAGTGTTAAAGCAGTTTTACAGATCCGCCCTTTAGGTTTGTCAGAAAAAATCGACTTCCTGAATCTGGACTCACCTGGACCACCTGAGAGGACTGTGTCCGTGGACAGATAGATGACGGACGGAGGGACAGACTGATCTATTCATAGTTGGATTGACTGATTGATTGATTGATTGATTGTTTTCCTCCTTGTCTGGAGGGTTTGAGGGAGATTTTGGGTCTTTTTGTTTTGATGACGTTGAACTGAAAATCTTCATTCATCGATCATTTCTACACACTTCGTTGATTGATCATTGATTGATCACACACTGCTGTCTTGTATCCTCATAGACACACTCTTTAAATCCATTCAACGTGTGTGTGTGTGTGTGTGTGTGTGTGTGTCTGCAGGTTTACCTGGGCTGTTGTGTGTTCTTGTTTGTGTGTTTCTTTGTTGTCACACTTTGTGTTAGTTTGTCATATCTCTCTCTCTTTGTGTGTGTGTGTGTGTGTGTGTGTTTGTACAGGTCAGTTACACAACATCAGCTGACCTGTTTATTGTGTTTTTATTTCACTGATGCGTGTCTTCATTTGTTGTTTCTTCCTGTTTTCTTTTGTGTCTTTTGTGTATTTTGTGTGTTTTTGTCATATTGCGGGTCTTTGTTTGCGCCCCAGTGTGTGTGTGTGTGTGTGTGTGTGTGTGTGTGGTTTTGTGCGCTCTGTTCTTATTCATGTTTCCCATTATGTATATGGACTTCTGTATGTGTGTGTGTGTGTGTGTGTTTGAGTGTGTATCTGGTTGGTGGTTAGCCTGTAATTTTGTGTCTGTGTATATCCTGGTGTGTGTGTGTGTGTGTGTGTGTGTGTGTGTGTGTGTGTGTGCGTGAGGTGTGTATATGTGGGTTTGTGGAATGTTTGGGTAATTTTGTGTATCCTCGGTGTGTGTGTGTGTGTTCATATATACTATCAAACACACACACACACAGACACACACAATGCCTTCATCTCTGACATAACTGGTTACCATGCATACTGTGCGACTCTGACTATTATGGGGTGTTCTTTGTTTTGTCACGATGTGCCCTGGTATGGAATGGGAGGGGGAGGGGAACAGGGTGTGTGTGTGTGTGTGTGTGCGCGTGTGTGTGCGCACGCATGAGTGTGTGTGGGGGAGGTATGTGTGTTTTGGTCTGTGTGTGTGTGTGTGAGGGGGAAAGAAAGGGTGTGTGTGTGTGTGTGTGTGTTTGTGTGTGTGTGTGAGGCAAGCGGAGGATCGGGTGGGGGTTGGGTGTGCGTGTCTGTGCGGACGTGCGAGCATATAATGTGTGCATGAGAGGGAGTGAGCGAGTTCATGCATGTGTTTTGGAGAAGGTAAGGTAAAATGGCGGCGTCTGTGCGTGCGTTCAGGCCTCTCAGGTGGCGTCGAAAGTTTTGAAGACGTCTGTTTCTGGTCACATGATCACGTTTCATCCACCTGAGAAAGAGTCTCATATTTCAGGGTCGACTGTTTGTCTGGTCTCGGTCGATCTGCTGCTGTAACCACAGACTGACAAAGAATAGTGATCAGGGTTCTACGAAAAGGTCGTATCCTCCGATCGTAGATGATCGTAAAAATACACGTTAACGTGTCGATTTACACCGACTTCTTTCCGTTCTTCTGCGGATCAGAATCTAAATCTAACACTTTTTTGGACGCTAGGTAGAAAAGTCCAATTAGTCCATTTGAGATCCATCCAACGAAGAAAAGGAAATCATAGATGCTGCAGCCTCAGTTTTAAACAACATCTCAAGGTTTACCCCCGACCTCCACCTTCATCCTGATCGTCTCCTAAAAGGTCGTATCCTCCGATCGTAGATGATCGTAAACATTCACGTTAACGTGTCAATTTACACCGACTTCTTTCCGTTCCTCTGCGGATCGCCGGACTCCTCAGCTGATCACAAGAGTTCTGATGTGACTGCAGTGTGACGCTCAGGTCGAGTTCATCCGACCTTTACGTCATCAATATGAGACAAACGTCACCGTTGTTCGACACAAACAGGAGCGGAGAGATATTTGTGTTTTGTGTTCATGAGGGTCACTTCACACACGTATTCGTTGTTGTAACGTGAACGACCGCACAAAAAGATCGGAGTTAACTAAAAATCTGAACTTTGCTTCAGAACCCGCCGTGTGAACGAAGACGAAGAGTTTTTAACAGAAACTTCATTTTGTTTTCAGGAGTTTTTACCGACAGGTTTGTGTGTTTGGAGTTCAAAAGTTGTTTAGCTGACGGCAAACATACAAACGCCAGGAAACAGTCGTTCCGTTTTCACAAACAGCGACAGTTTGACTTTATTAAATTGTTCTTTGGCGGTAAAGAGGTCCAGGTCCAAGACCTGGATCTTTAGGGTCCTGGTCCAGCTGTAATCCTGACCACATTTTCTGTTTGGAACATTCAGGCTTGAGATTCAAACCCGCCTCCTCCTTTCATTGACCCCGCCTCCTCCTTTCACTGACCCCGCCTCCTCCTTTCATTGACCCCGCCTCCTCTTTTCATTGACCCCTCCTCCTCCCAAAATTGACCCCGCCTCCTCCTTAAATGGACCCCTCCCTTCCTCCTTAAATTGGCCCCGCCCCTTCCTTTCATTGACCCCGCCCCCTCTTCTTATTGACCACGCCCACATGAAGTCACTGTTTAAAAACTCCATCTCCACCCACCACCCCGCCCTCCTCCCTCTGATCCCCTCCTGGTTCCTCCTCCTCCTGCTCCTCCTGCTCCTCCTGCTCCTCCTCTCTCTCTCGGGCGTCTATAGCAGCACGCAGCGGGTCTTGGGTTTGGTCTCTGGAGGCTCCAGAGCAGCCAGGATGGCCTCGTCGAACACGTTCTTCAGTCCTTTCTGAGGGACACAGACGGATCAGGGGTTAGAGTTCAGGTCTCTGAGGACCCAGATGTTTCCTCACTCTCTGCTCACCTGTGTTAGAGCCGAACACTCCACGTATTTGCAGGCCTTCAGGTCCCGGGCCAGTTTGTCTCCCATCTCACAGGTCAAGGGTCGCTGCTTGTTCTTGGCCAGTTTCTCCAGAGTGTTGCTGTCGTCCCTCAGATCCACCTGAGTCCCGACCAGCAGGAAAGGCGTCTTCGGGCAGTGATGTGAGATCTCTGGGACCCACTGTGAGGAGCAGAGGTGAAACAGGGGTGAGAGGTGTCTGATACCGTCTCTAATTCTTGCTAGAACCTCTCAGCTGGACTTCAAGAACCTCTGAAGGTGTTCGCAGACCAACAAAAGGACCGAGCTCACCTTTTCTTTGACGTTCTCAAAGGAAGACGGAGAAACCACCGAGAAACACACCAGGAAGACGTCGGTCTGAGGGTAACTGAGAGGCCGCAGCCTGTCGTAGTCCTCCTGACCTGCAGGGGGAGACACAAGATTAGCTGTTACCCCCGACCTCCACCTTCATCCTGATCGTCTCCTAAAAGGTCGTATCCTCCGATCGTAGCTGATCGTAACCATTCAAGTTAACGTGTCAATTTACAGCGACTTCTTTCTGTTCCTTTGCGGATCGCCGGACTCCTCAGCTGATCACAAGAGTTCTATTTTTTCTGGACGCCGGAGCATGGCGGATAAATTCAGCACAGATTAACCCGTGCTGGAAAGGAAGTCGGGCACAGACACAAAATAAAACATCCGTCTTCTTTTCAAAATAAAACACTCCGTGTTTCAGGAGGATCGTATTTCACACCATGCAAACGGGCGGAGACGAACAAGTGAAAGGTTTTTAGACGTCATTTCACCCCGATGACACCATGGATGAGGAGATGCTGATTCTAGAAGTCTAGAAGTAGATTTCCTCCTCTGGAAGGACACAATCTACTGCTTATATGTCTATGTGTCTGTCTTTAGAGAGACAGCTCATGATCATAAATGTTCTTCCTTGAGCTGCGTCACCCCGCTGTAGTCTGTAATGGACTGGCCTGAGGTCTCACTACAAACAAGCGTCTGCTGGAAGAGAGTAGGTGAGTTGTGTTTAGTCTCTTTGCTAAAGAAATGAGTCAAAGTTAAAAAGATGTTTGGTGTCTAGTACTATGTCTGTGACCCTATATGTCCTGTTGATGAAGTTAGGTGCTGTTCTGAGCATTATTTGTGGCTATAGAGTGGCGTTTTGGTTGGGGGCGTGTCTCTCTGTATTTCTATCCTGCGGTCGTTACTAAAGTTGGTATAACTAGAGAAGGAAGCGGTCGACAACATTCATCTCTGGAGGCGGGGTCTAACTCGGTGTTACGGTGGGTTTGACCCTGACTTAGTTTTATGCCGGAATGTCCCTTTAAGGTAACGAGCCGTACTTCATTAGAGCTCTTCAGAATCTACTGACTTCACTCAGGACCAACCAGAGGAACCCGAGTCCACTCGGCCTGAAATAACTCCCAAACTTTGGACCCAACTCGCTGACATCACACATCGGGGGGGATGCAGCAGTGTCACCGCTCCACGCCAGGACCGTTTCCCATCAGCCACTGGGGCATTGATTCCTGCAGTGATCAGTATGTACAGCTCTGAACGTCCTTGCACCGTGACTTTGACATTTTGATGCATCTGCAAACACATGATTAAGTCACATCGACTTCTCCGCGAGGACACGAGCTGCTGCGTCTAAGACTGGGATTCATGATGGGGGGGGGGGGGGGGTCTGACTTTGACAGAGTTCTGGTTCTGGAGGAAGTCAGTAAATCTCATTTTTAGTGCTTCACAATAAGGATGAAATACAATCGAACACAGAGAAACACCGACGTCAGTTAAAAGCCTTTCTAAAAAGGTTTTAAGTTCTTATTTAAAACTTTCAGCAGACTCTACACTACTAACCCGGAAAGAGCGGTCGCTTCATGTTTTAAAACAGGTGTGAGGGACCGTCAAGAGTTTGAACGTGAGGGGAGGAGGGTCTCAGTAGCTCACTGATGTCCGAGGGATCTTGATCATGGAGGGATCTTGATCATGGAGGGATCTTGATCATGAAGGGATCTTGATCATGGAGGGATCTTGATCATGAAGGGATCTTGATCATGGAGGGATCTTGATGATGGAGGGATCTTGATCATGGAGGGATCTTGATCATGGAGGGATCTTGATGATGGAGGGATCTTGATCATGGAGGGATCTTGATCATGGAGGGCTCTAAAAGAACTGAAATCTTAAACTGACTTGGTCCCTTTTCTTGGATCCAGTTAAAAGCCTCACAGCTGCTTTTTGTCTCGTTTGAAGGTGATTTACGACCTTTTAGTTAAAACACATGAAAACAGCAGAACAGTCGTCACTGTGAGAAAAAACATCATCTGAAGAAAGGATGGAGAGGTCGTGGTCTCTGGACACGACACACAAATATTTATTTATAATATAAACCAGATTTTTATAAAGACTTTTATTTTTTCATTTTTTACCAAAACGACCGTCGTTCATCGGTCACCTGACCACAGAGACTGAGCTCCTGTTTTTACCGTCTATAGTAGTGCTGTAGCCAAGACCACAACAACCAAGACCAGAGAGGACCGAGACCAGAGAGGACAGACCAGAGTACAGAGACTGAGACCAGAGAGGACAGAGACCAGAGAGGACCGAGACCAGAGAGGACAGAGACCAGAGAGGACGGAGACCAGAGAGGACAGAGACCAGAGAGGACAGAGACCAGAGTACAGAGACAGAGACCAGAGAGGACCGAGACCAGAGAGGACAGAGACCGAGACCAGAGAGGACCGAGACCAGAGAGGACAGAGACCAGATAGGACAGAGACCAGAGAGGACGGAGACAAGAGTACAGAGACAGAGACCAGAGAGGACGGAGACCAGAGAGGACAGAGACCAGAGAGGACGGAGACAAGAGTACAGAGACAGAGACCAGAGAGGACCAAGACCAGAGAGGACAGAGACTGAGACCAGAGAGGACCGAGACCAGAGAGGACAGAGACCGAGACCAGAGAGGACGGAGACCAGAGAGGACAGAGACCAGAGAGGACGGAGACCAGAGAGGACAGAGACCAGAGTACAGAGACAGAGACCAGAGAGGACCGAGACCAGAGAGGACAGAGACCGAGACCAGAGAGGACCGAGACCAGAGAGGACCGAGACCAGAGAGGACAGAGACCAGAGAGGACAGAGACCGAGACCAGAGAGGACCGAGACCAGAGAGGACAGAGACCAGAGTACAGAGACAGAGACCAGAGAGGACAGAGACCAGAGAGGACGGAGACCAGAGAGGACGGAGACCAGAGTACAGAGACAGAGACCAGAGAGGACCGAGACCAGAGTACAGAGACGGAGACCAGAGAGGACCGAGACCAGAGAGGACAGAGACCAGAGAGGACCGAGACCAGAGTACAGAGACGGAGA